TAGTTGTATGTTTGTATATGATAGCTATGAGGTATTATAGCATTCTAATATTGTTTTTGATTTGGAGAGGTAGTATTTAGCTACAATAGTATTATTCTCTATATTTTTCTCTGTTATACACATGAGGTGAATTTCTATGTATTTCTCTAATATATTTATCTTTGTTAGAGAATTCTATAATGAAGTTAGTAGATAGTCAAAAGCATTGAGAAGTCATGAAAATGTCTCAAATTTAGGTATATAGGTTGTTTGTTTTATATGCTTCAATTTTTGGAATTGAGCCTTTTTTTTAGAACCCTAAATTATATATCAGCTGATTAATTTGTACTCCAAAATCAGTTATTAGCTGATTATTTTTTATTTTAAACGATTTACAAAATGAAAATTTTATATATTAAAGGCATGTCAAACCAATTACTCGACCTCAAAACTAATTGCTTTTTTTTGGAATTAAGCCAAGTAAGAATAAGCTTTATACAATATTATATATAATATTATAAAACTAATTTATTTTTTAATATACAGTAGATTTAACATAACTAATAATTCATGTTTACACTTATATATTTTTATTGAACCAAAAGTTTTAATTACTAACTATACTTTACAAGAGTTTAAGTATGAAATTTGTGGAATAAAATATAAAACAAAAAGAGGTCTTAATTATCACCAAAGTATTGTACGAAAGTATAATATTCGTCATGAAGGCTTATATATGCTACCATTAGAAGCAGTTAATCAATTTAAGAAGGATCTGATTTATATTATAAGTAGTAAACTTAAAGCACATTTTACACAATTAGGAAGGCAAACTCTTTCATTTCCCTGTCTAGAAAGTTTATTTTTTGAGGTTTTTAAGGGCTATATTTATTATTTTAACTGAAAAAACAATAGCTACAAGTGTTTTTTTTATAGACCAAATGCTTATATGCAATTAGCTAATATATTTGATAACCAAAATTGGGGGCGTAAATTTTTTGACAATGATCAACAAACATTTATCTTACTATTC